GTCTTTCCACTGCACATGAAGATCAAACCGCCAAGCTTTTCTCTCTTATCATCACGTTTTTCACTGTTCTTTTCACTCTTGGCACTCTTGTCTGACTCACGTCGTTTTTCTGTACTCATCTGTTTTTGTTGGCTCTTTTCGGATTCATCAGATTTTCCTGGATTCTTTTGAACCTGATGGCTCTTCTCTGTAGCCTCTTCGTTCGAGATATTCTGTTGGTTCTCTTTCGTTGAACTCAGCTTTTTGCCATCTTGTTCTCTTGTTTTTCTACTCACGTTGTTACCCCTATTCCTTTTCCTTTTCCTCCCATTAACCTGTGAAGTATCTGCACCTCTACTAATTTTCAAACTGTTTTGAATAGGAGTTTTCTTCACGATTTTAGCTTTTCCCTTCAATGATCTTGGGATCCTCTTTCCAGAAATGGATGCTCCCGCAGAAGAAGTTTTCTTTTCAGATAAATCAGGTTTCTTAGACCCTTCCCCAGGAGAAGCCATTTTCTTTTCAGCTGACTCAGGTCCACTGAACGCTTCAGAAGACGAGGGGGCCTTCAGTTCAGATGACTCTGGTGTGCTGGATGTTTCTGCAGGAGAGGGGATTTGTTCAGATGACACTGGATTATTCAACACTTCAGCAGGTCCACCAAACACTTCAGCAGAAGAAGGGAACTTTAGTTCAGATGACTCTTGGGTGTTGGAGGTTTCTGCAGGTGAGGGGACTTGTTCTGATGGCTCTGGATTATTCAACAATTCAGCAGGTACACTGATCACTTCAGCAGAAGAGGGGACCTTCAGTTCAGATGACTCCAGTGGGCTGGTTGTTTCTGCCGGAGAGATGATTTGCTCAGATGGCTCTGGATTATTAAACACTTCTGCAGGACTCTCTATTTCCCTCCTGTTATCTGTTTCCATATAGTTATCATCTAGTTCCATAGTATATACATATACCAAACAATCGGGTTCACAAAGCCCAATGAATCCTGCAAATGATATGGTCAGGAAGTGATTTCTTTTGTTTTCTATCAAAAACAGAAGAACACAGGAACCACATATCCCGTCCAGGAGATGAGTCAATCGAATGTGAGAATGAAAAGGAAAGAAAAACTGAGTGAAAAGGAAAGGAAATGAATGTAAAAGCAACAGAAAGAAAAATAAATGGAATGAATGTAAAGCACCTTCCATACTTCGCCCTGTTCTGGCTATATGTAAAAACTTGAGCAGCATTGAAATTATATTTTTATAGGCAATACAGTAAATCCATTGAGACATTTTAGCTAAGCGGAACAGTATCATTGTCATTCCAAGAGAATTGCTCAAATTCAAAGTCCTCTTTAATATTTCAGTGCATAACACAGAATGGGTTTCTAATGTCAAGCCATTGTCATATCAATCAGTTTCAATACTGAAAAACACCAACCCTAGAAGCATGAATGTTACAAGGAGTAAAGACAGATGGTCCTTTATGTTTAAAGAAAGACAGGTAGTCTGTGCACATAAGCTCTGCCTATAGAGATAAAACCCCTTCCTCTGTATACACAACGAAGTAACAAAACAAAAAACACCCTTCCTCTGTATACACAACGAAGTAAACAAAACAAAAAACAACATTGAAGTTATCAAACTAAAAGATATACCTCTGTGTACATGTGTGTGCGTACCCCTATATATGTATATAATTATACATTACAGTGGCCATTAGGTATATCCATGCAAGATCAGTATGTGTGTGTGTGTGACGTTGTGCATATGGAGAGAACAATAACTTCCACACCTTTAGGTGGATGTCACATTCCCCATTTTATTCAACAAAGGACACATCCAGTGTGAAAACTACAATGTCGTCGTAATTTCACTAGAAACATGAGGAACACAAATCTCTTTCTCCACTATACTATATGTATGTGCAAACATAATCACATTATATTCAATCGCACAGGAAGTGGGAACAAAAGTAACAGTAAGACTAACTCCAGAAGCCGCCCTTCTGCAATTATATCAAAGCCATTTAAACTAAATTGTGACAGATGTAATCAAATAGAAGACTCCAGACTAACAACAGATGAAAATTTAGTAGGTTCACTACCTCAATCTAATGAAAATTCTGTCACAATTGATCACATCAATAAATTTCTAGTAAAAATCATGACAAAGGCTTGACTACTAAGTCCCTGACCATTTTACCACACTTGTTGGCTGAACAGAAACGTGCAACATGTGCAAATTTTGTACATGCGAAAAATATCGCAAGCTAAGGAATCTGCTCTGTTAGCTGATCTACTCAATTAAACCAAATTGAATGATTAATAAAAAGCATGACACCGATTTGACTATTTAAGTTTTTTCCATACAGGGCGGCTTGGCATTATCATGCTAATGCCACGCATGCACTTTTGGTACATCTGGCAGCATCAAGACCAACAAATTTCATATGCACAATTTCTTTTCCTGTTCTCTCCTAGTACCGTTGTTACTGAGATTTACGTTATTTCCTTAAGGTAACGGAAATAACCGTTGAAAATCTGAGGGACTCGATTCCATTATACTACGTGTCCTAATTCGAAGAGAAATCCAAAACAAAAGTGTGCGCGCCATTTGTTTGTTATTACCGGTAATATAGTTACTCTCGCCATAAACACTCTAAGCACACAATAAAGATTAGAATCACATCTAAAGCCTTTACTACCACAAAACCTCATGCTTCCATGGCAATGCCAAGACTTTCATTCGATCAGACCCACATGTGTGGTGATGATTCTGATGAATGAATGATATGCCCCGAAAGACTGAAGCCCAGATGCATATTTTTAACAACAAAAAATAGAGAATCTTTACTGTTATCTCAAGTAAAACCAATCATTTGATCAAAACCCAGTTTTGATCATGCAAGTATATTGCAAAAGAGCAATCCAACAACCAATTGAATCAAATTTAAAATCGACCCGACTAGTGCAAAATTGCAAACAATCAAGCTTTACAACGATTCAACACCCCCTCTATTTATCTAATTGTCTGCCCAGATAAATGGAAGCATAAAATACAAAATCAACTTAATATCTAAGACTCAGATCTCATACAATTTTAATTCAGCAGCATTATAAAACCCGGATCAAATTGTAAGCCCAAAACTACCAGGATCAAATTCAGCATAAAATTTTCACAGTCCATGCTTGCAAACACAAGCATTCATATTTCAATTAAAACCACTGAAAATTCAATATCTTTTTCGTTTCCTTACCTCTCCCACCGACCAAACAGAAGCCAGAGAATCTGAAAACCCAAAACCAAAAGAAATTTTTTAATCAGTGAGAAGCTGTTGTGGTTTTAGAGAGAGAGAGAGAGAGAGAGAGAGATAGAGTAAGATAGAGAGAGATGAGAGAAAGAGAGAGTACCTTCAAAAGGAACCAGAGACTGAGACGGAGAGAATCCAACGAACGTTACGGAGGAGGAAGAGAAAATCTGGAAAGGAACAATTTAAGGACGGTTTAGCTCTCTTTCCAGTCTAAATTTTTTCAATGACCAAACTGCCCTCCTTTTATAACCCTTTTTCTCCTCTTTTCGCATGTTTTTTTTAGGGAATTTTAACGAAAAACTCCAGTACTGTTCCCATTAACGACAAATTATATGTTTACACTAAAAATATAATCCTAAAACTATTCACTTTATCCTTTATTTTGTTCTTATCGTTAAAACTCAAAATTTTCAAACTCTTTCCATTAGTTTTTTTTTTTTAACAAACGATATTATATACTAAAGGGGAGGGGTTTAGGCTAAGCCTCACAATGAACTATTAATAATGTGATTCAAATTTGTATTTGACGATAATCGAACCTAAGAATTCTCACTTACAAATGAAGATGAATACCATTAAACCGTAGTACCAAATGACTTTCGCACTTTTTTTAAGGGCATAAAAAGTAAAAAAAATCAATCATATTTCCAACGATAACAAAAAAAATCTAGGTAAAGGGAAGGAAATAAAAAAGATTTGGCCCTAGGTTCAAGAGGCACACCCTATCCGCCACGGGTATGTAACTCACGTAATAAAATAAAAAAGATTTAGCCCTAGGTTCAACAGGGCACACCCTATCCGTCACGCATATGTTACTTTGTATACGTATTAATCCATATTCGTAATGACATTATTTTTATTTGATCATAATGCACGTGACACATCGATTTAGTACTAGAAAGTACGTGTATCCTCATTAATAAGTGTTATAACTTCGATATATCCTTAACACAACACAGGACACCGAAATTTAGAAACCTAATTAAATCCCATTTTGATTTTTCTTTTTATTTTTTCCTATTCTTACATTTTGGAGTTGACTATGAAATTTGAATGTTTTCTGTGTTATTTGCAAAATAAAACAAAGCCACATTTCATTCTATATACCTTAAAATTTATCTGCATTTCCTTAAAATGATTTATTTTCTAAATTTTTTATGATATTTATTCTATCCAACTCGTATCCAGTTGTTTTTGTTTTCCAATCCACGTGGCAAACATTCAGAATGGCTGTTGTACTACTTGTTTTTTTCCAGCCTACATGGCAGACATTCAGGAGGTTGTTGTAAACTTGTAATGACATTAAGTTGCCAATTGATTTTGCTTAATCGTATTTTTTTTCTCCCTAAATTTCATTTAGTGTCAACGCAAGAAAATTGTTTTGGCCATTCTTGTCCATGTCATTGGTCAACCTTAAACAATTTGACCACTTAAAAGATAATGACTTACACAGAACGAAAATTACCACATGAACCATAATGCAATTATAGTGGTGACCTCATTCGATATAAGTTACTCTCCTAAAGGAGGGAAAGGACTTATACCGAGGTGTTGTTTCAAACCTCTTACACTTCCCACATGTTTTAACTTCTCCATATGACATCGTATGATTAGTTGAGACTCTGAAACCTTGCTGGTCCAGTTTTTTGTAAGTGATTCTCTAAAGGAGGGTAGTTGATAGAGAAACAATTGCCAATTCATCATATAATTAGAGAGCAGAAGAAAGCTAATTTTCAGAAATTGGCAAAAGATTTTATAGTCACAAGAGTTTACATACAAGCCTCCTAAATTTTCCAAAGAAAATCAAATTCAAAGAAAAATAAAACCTAATTCAGTCAAGATAAACTTTAACATCAATCCCATTGTCAATGAGGGATTGAACAACTGCTCTAATCTTCCCTTCAAGCTTGTCCCTGTCCCGGGGAGTATAAGCAGCAGTATAAACATCGGCTTCTCTTGCCCTATCGGCCAAAATTTGGCCGACCGCCAAACAGGCAGGTATGTCGCAACGTGACTTGAGTACAGCTTTAATGTCTTTGGAGTTGGTACCGGCAGTTGCAACCTGCTTGGTTGTGACCCCGTGGGTGATCGAGGCTGACACAAACCGCTTTGAGATGAACACATCGAGTGTAAACGGTTCAATGTAGGCTACGGTGCGCTGTTTAAATGATATATGTTTTGTTGGATTTTTGGACTTCTTCTCCTTCTGGTAAGTGTATGGGCGGCTATTGTCATCATCGAGGAAATCCTCTACCCCGAAAAAACTTCTCGGTGCGCAGTGGACCTGTAAATTGCACAATCAGATGGCAGTTGATATCACCGCAAAATTTCTACGGGAAAGAAACTAGATGGCTAGCAGATCTTCATGGCATCATCCAAGCACAGAAAAAGTTCAAACCTCGTTCAAGCATAAATCTTTATCAACTTTCATAGATTTTTTCCGGAGATAAACATTGGTTTGAAACTAATGCAAGGCTCTGTGACAAATAATTCGAGAATATAAGCCAAATGGGGGGTCGGAAATTGGGATTTCGAATGTACCTGTCCATTGTTAACATCACTCGTGGGCACATACAAGCAAGGCATGGCTCTGTTTCCTCCATACGCGTAAACCCCTTTGCTCCACGCCTTCCCAAAGGCTTACTTTAACATTGTTCCCTTTTCACTCACACAAGACACCTTAACGAGAGTCGTCCTACTCGTGTCTAATCAGATGAAAACCAAGCAAAAACACATAACCATAAAGAAAGACACTTTGAACACCTTTGAGAAATGTAAATTTACCAACGCAGAGAAATACAGTCACTTCTTTGAAGCATTTCATCGAACAGGTGAGAGGCAATGCAAAAAGAAAAGGAAAAGGACGAAACTTGTGCTTCCAAATTTGTTCCCTTTTGTGTGAAGCTAATGGAGCACTAGAAATTCAAGTATTTTAAATTTAACAAAACCCATTACTGGAAATTTTGAAACAATTAATATCAGTATTACTTTCTATGAGATTCTTCAAGTTTACAGAGACTGCAATCCACATTGGCAAATGCCCAATTTCAAACAAAAACATGAGAGGGAGAGAGGGGGAGAGAGAGACCCGGAGATAAGAGAGAGGAGCCCCCTTCGGCGTGTGGAAAGGAACGGCGTCGTCATGGGAGATTTCAAACAGGAGAATACGGTTGCGGCGGTGGAAAGACGCGAAGAAACAGAAGAAAAGAAGGCAGCGGTAATGAACAACTCGGAAGCTCAGAAACTGGCGCCGTGCACTTCTGCTGGTTTCGTGATTTTGTGGGCCGCGGTCTGCTGACCCATTTTAGTGTCTCTTTCTAATTACATGTCCGTGCGAAAAGTATTTTTTAAATTACGACGTATTATACTTAACTTACATATTTTTAATGTATTTATATACATAAATTGCTTCAATATTTTTTATTTTTTATTTATAAGTCAAATTAGAAACTTAAAAGAAACACGATCACCTTCTCTAACAACTCAGTACATTTTGAATTGCACCAAGAGAGAAAGGTCAATGTATATCATACTTTAGCTTACCTAGTAGCAATGACTTCGATTGACACAAAAGGGCGGGTCTAAATCAATCCAATACGTATTTGACAATAACAAAATGTGCTAAGAAGAGACATACTTGAACGAAAAAGCAAAGAAAAAGCATTCAAGAGATTAGGCGTGGGAAGTTATAGTCTTTGCAGTAGCTGTTTAGGTTGAAGACTTCTATATTTTGATCGAGTAAAAAAATGTGTTTTTTTTTTCTTTTATGTGAAGGTAAATGAATCGTATTAATGTAAACAAAATGAAAATTGAAACGTTAAACAAGAAAATGATAAATTTTTATTTTTTTTTAGATTCCATCATTTTGAATTTCCTTGATCTAACACTCCATCACCCAAATGCTATGTTAGAGGTCCGAGAGAAGTAATTTTACTTTTAACAGTGATAGGCACTTTATTCCAACATTCGAAAGGACCAACAAACACAAATGAAGGCTTTTTGTTCAACTCTTGTCTACTATCTACTCAAAATACCCATTTCCGCAAAGCAAAAAAGTGAAATTTCTATAAACAATTAGGATTTTGAAAGTAAAATTTAGAACTTGATCTGAAAAGGGTTACTCACTCCTTTACTTGCGAATCGACTCGGTAATACACCAAAACAGTTGAAAAAAAAAAAAAAAATTGATTACCAAAAAAATGAAAATTAAAGGAAAATGTTTTGAAAATTAAAATTAAATTATCGTACTTTCTTACCCTGTGTGAATCACAGGCACCCAAGAGAAAGCAAACAATCAGAGGCGCAACCATATTTGCAGAGCAATTAGATTCCTATCAAATCCATTCTTCAAAAACCATAGAAAAAATGGAGGTACATTTGCAGATCCGACTGAGCTAATTTTCCGGAGCTTCAACCATGGACCCAATCATGAATGCCTAAATTTACCCAATCTTAACAACATGAAAAATTTAGTACAAATATTTAACCGAGCAGTAAACTTCGAAAGCAAAAAGGGTTGCGAAAAAACAGATTACGTTTCATTGACAACCAAATCAAAGGGACAGAAGACCACTCCTGTATGAGAAGTGCCTGAAAGGATAAGCAAGTAGATTGCAGAACGTAACCATGAACATCGTAGGCGAAGCACAAATGGGAATAAGCCATGATGTTTTCTTTAGTAAAAAAAAGGGAACTTTAACGAAAAGCACCCGGTACTGTTCATTTTAACGAAAAACCACATTTTTACACTAAAAAGTCAATCCTGTTACTATTCACTCTACCCTTTATTTTGTCCTTATCATTAAAACTCAAAGTTTTCAAGCCTTTTTCATTAGTTTTCCTTAAAAAAAAAAGGAAGAACCTGCAATACAAAGTTGGCTTCTCAAGAGTCATGAAATGGCTTTCTTCAAAAGTGCTTGATACAATCCAATCAGTATGTATATAGATGCAAAATTTGTGTTTGTGCTGGAGTCTAGTAACTGTTGGCAGCGCCGTGGCATGAATTGAGACAAAAATTTACTCAAATCATTCGAAGCAGCAGGAACGACCAAGGTTCTTCCCTCCTTCTCTAATGTTGAAGCAATTTGGTACAAATATTTCGGTACAGTCATTTTTGTACACTTATGTATTTGCATATTTATGTGTCACTAATTTTTTTGAATATTTACTCATTTATGTTCATTTACAATGGAAAGAGCTAACATGTGCATATTAATAAAATTAAAATTTTAATGTGGAGACATTAAATAACAAAAATAGAATATACATTTTAATAAAAGTACACCTTAAGATCTTGTTTGACAGCTCAAACTGTATTGACTATTTTAGTCGAATAAGATAAATAGTCTTCAAATACAACTGACTAAATTTGTCGACGTTTGATGCAATATCAGATTGATAACTATATTATTTATAATGTATTTAGTACTTGTTAATAATACTTTTGAATTGATAATTTAAACAAAAAAAAATTCACAAAGTGTTTTTCAAAATACAATTCACAATCCAACAATAAAAATCCACAATCCCTTGTTAATGGAAGCTTCAAGCAGATTCTCCTAGCTTTCGTTGCAATCATCTTCGAATCAATTAATGGCTTCTCTCAAATTGAACCAACAGCTTCTCATCTTCGAACTCAATATCGTCCTCTGTCAAAATGCTGGAACTCAAAAATTCCATGAAAGATGACGACACTGAAGCAGAAATTCCATGATTTACAGGGGAATCAGTGCAGCCAAAAACCCAATTTTGAGTTTCTAATCCATTGAAATCAAGACCCAGAAGAAATCTTGCCCAGTTTTGAGCTTACTCACCACACATCAACAAAATCAAGGAACAATTAAGCTAAAAACTCAGATAATGTCTCCAGAACAGAACCGGCGGGACTTGGGTTCGATCTGCCACCTCTGGATTCCGTTCGAAATCTTCTTGATGCTGATCGGAGGTGGGGATGGAGAAAGAGGGAGAGAAACGAGTTTGCGATCTGCAGAGCAGATGGCAAGATGGGTTGGAGAAAAGCCAGCTTGCTTTAGTTTTAGGCGTGAACGGTGAACCTGACTAAATAATACCAAGGTTTTGTTTGGGATAAGTAAGCAGGCATATGGGGTATTAAATAGGTGGGGTCGGACTAATAGTTCGATGCTTATTTAGTATAAGGCCCACCAAACATCTGTTTTGTATTATATAGTATTATCTGGTGTCTTATACGGGGTGCCAAACAAAGCTTAAGGGATTAAATTGAATATGTAATTTAGTACCAGATTTTTTTTTAATTCTAATATTTTGCAAGGACTAATGTTCAAAAACCACTAAAAAAACATTTTAATTTTTCTCCAATTAATTATTTTGCTATATTTGATATAATTTCTAGGACTAATGTCCAATTAATTATATTATATTGCAAGGACTAATGTTCAAAAACCCCTAAAGAGACATTTTAATTGTTCAAAAATCTTTTAGTTGTTTTTGTCTCTCGTTGACATATTTGAGTTCTTTGAAATATGGTGAGCTATATGTACTGCTGTCATAGATTATGTGTCAATGTACACTAGTTTAATTATTATTTTTATATAAAATAGAGTATTTTAGAATTATATTCTAAAAAATGTGAGACCATAGTACCCTTTAGATTATATTGAAGAAGGAAAAAGAAGACATGATGAACTGAGAGTTGAGATAGCAGAGTTGAGGAGGCAGATCAGTTGGAGACATGTGCCCTTACAAACGAGATTAATCATTATTCTTATAGACTTTTAAAGATTAAGATAATTTAAAACATGACTGCTAAGGTTGATGTGAGCGTAGGGCATTGTTGACACGGTCAGGAATACTGCAACAACAACGTAGCTTCTCGGTTTGGAAAATGCAATGCCCGCCACTGAGTTTTTTGGCTTGGCACACTGCATGACACTCGGCATCTTTAAACGTGTTGCTGCAGAGTCCGTAGCAAAAAGGGTCGGGGGGGGGCACCGGGCGCACCTTCGCTTCACATACCACAACTCCTGCAATATTCAAACAAAAACACACAAAAGCTTCAACCTCTAAATTACCTGCTTAATTGTAAGTTTTGATATAGGGAAAAATTAAATCGGTGCAACTCTTTTCCCAACTCTATCACACTGCCACGTCATGTTAAAACGAAGATAAATCTATATGATAAAGTTGAGAAAAGTGTTGGGTTTGTAGCATCAATTAGAGAAAAATAAAAATAATAATGATGAGAGAGATAGGAAGAGTACTCGAGGTTACTAAAGCAGCAGATATGGCCATGGCAGCAAGGGAAACCCGAAAGGAACTCTTGGGAATTCATCTTCGATCGGATTCTTCTTCTGATTCCTGAAGAAAGATTATTGGATGCGTGGTTGCAATGAAGAACAATGTCTTGTGTATATATATATATATATATATATATATGCGTGGTTTAAATAAGACCCCTACTTAAGCGTTTTGGCTTCTGTTGTAATATACATTCAAGAATTAATCAAATTATAAACAATTCGATTTTCTTCCTAAATCGGGTGGATTCCAGAACATTGTTCTTTTGTGGTTTACGTGTGTATTTCGTTTCATTAACTGATATTTTTTCTCTAATTCGTTTGTTAATTAGTCATAATGACATGGCCCAAGCTAACAAGAGATACACACGTAAACCACAAAAGAACAATGTTCTGGAATCCACCCGAGTTAGGAAGAAAATCGAATTGTATTTGATTAATTCTTGAATGTATATTACAACAGAAGCCAAAAAGCTTAAGTAGGGGTCTTATTTAAATCAAAATAGCATAAATTTTATTACAAATATTAAAACCCAAAATTGAATAATCATATCAGGAAAGTAAGACCGCAATAGAATATTTGTTCTAAAATTAAAATTAAATAAGATATTAAATATGCCAATCGACAATCAAAATATTTTTTCTTTCCCAATTTCAATGTATTTAGGTGGAATAATCATGAAATTAATTTCATAATCAAGATTGAAATATGCCAATCGATAATCAAATTATTTTTTCTTCCCCAGTTTTCTTGTTTGGTCAACAATGAAATTTAATTCCAATTTATTAGATTGCTGATTCTCCAAAACCATAACAATTTTAGAATCACCCATATCTTGAATTTCTTAAGTCTCCACTTGTGAGTTGTCATGTTTTGGGAAATATTTTGCAACAATATCTCAAATTGTTCTTTGTCTTCCACCTTGACCTCTATGGTTGCTTGGCATAATAAAATATCAGTCTCCATGATTTTAGCTTCTTTCTAATAATTGATTGACCCGTCTTTGCCAAATACAATTTGTATAAATCGG